GCCCGAACCTCAGCCCCTCAGGGGCTGCCGGCCCCGCCGCGGCCTGCAGGGGGCGCGCGCCGCCAGGCCACCGAGCGGGGGAGGGAGCGCGGCTGGCCTGGCTCCCCCTGCCGATTGCCGAGCGCGTCGATCGCCGCCCTCCTCCCCGCCGGCGCTGCGCTTCGCCCGTCTCCAGCCCGGACGGCTCTCGCGAGCGCCCCGGGGCTGCCATTTTCAGTCACCATAGCGACGGGTCCTGGCAACGCGGGGACGCCGGCAGGCCGCGGGCCTCACCCTGTGCCCCGGTGCGAGCCGCCGTCCCTCCCGCCCCCCGCCCCTGCCGTCGTCTCCCGTCAGCCCCCCACGTGCCTTCGCGGGGCTCCGCTTCCACCCCCGCCGTGATCCCGCCTGGCGGCGCCGCGTCCTGCCGGCATGGCCGGGAAGGGAGACGAGAGAAAGCGCTTTATTTCAGCCACGGCTGCCAACTACTTCGGGGTGGATCCCGCTGCGGGCCCCGCTGCCCTGGGGCTCCATGCCCGCCCGGAGCTGGCCAGGTTCCTGGACGACGGCAACGAGTTCCTGCTGGTCGTGCAGCGCTCGGGCACCCACCTCACCGCATCCAACAAGGTAGGGGGGTGTCAGAGGAGTGCGAGCAGGCACCTGTGGAGCCGGCGTGTCCGTTGCGGCCCCGTGTGCGAGTGGGGATGCAGAGCCTGGGGTCCGGCCCGGATTTAGTAGTTATAAAAGCGTGGTATCTGATTTGGGAGACATCGTGCTGCAAGTATCTGTGCAGGTCTCAGCGTCTTGTGCATAAATTCCTGGCCCAAGAGTCATAAAATCACAGAATCATGGAGTAGTTTGGGTTGGAAGGGACCTTTAAAGGTCATCTCGGCCAACCCCCCTGCAATGAGCAGGGACATTATCAACTAGATCAGGTTGCTCAGAGCCCCATCCAGTCTGACCCTGAATGTTTCCAGGGATCGGGCATCCACCACCTCTCTGGGCAACCTGTACCAGTGTCTCACCACCCTCACTGTAAAGAATTTCTTCCTTATGTCTAGTCTAAATCTTCCCTCTTTTAGTTTAAAACTACTATCCTTTGTCCTGGTGCAACAGTTCCTGCTAAAAAGTTTGTCCCCATCATTCTTATAAGCTGCCTTTAAGTCCCAAAAGGCCACAATAACATCTTCTTTGAGCCTTCTCTTCTCCAGGCGGAATGACCCCGATTCTCTCAGCCTGTCCTCACAGGAGAGCTGTTCCATCTCTCTGATCATTTTTGTGGGCCTCCTCTGGACCCGCTCCAACAGGTCCATGTCTTTCCTGTGCTGAGGGCTCCAGAGCTGGACGCAGTACAGTCTGTGAAGACCGTATGGTCAGCTGAGTGATACATTCATTAGTGGAATGTGCCCATGCTGACACGGTGAGGGACTCTTTATCCAGGAATGTAGTGATAGGATGAGAGGCACGGTTTTAAATTGAAAGAATGGAGATTTAGATTAAATATTAGAAAGAAATTCCTTACTGTGAGTGTGGTGAGGCACTGGAACAGGTTGCCCAGAGAAGCTGTGGTTGCCCCATCCATGGAAGTGTTCAAGGCCAGGCTGGATGGGGCTTTGAGCAACCTGGTCTAGTGGGAGGTGTCCCTGCCCATGGCAGGGGGGTTGGAACTCGATGATCTTTAAGGTCCCTTCCAACTCTAACCATTCTATGATTCTGTGTAGTTTTAGCATGCTGTGTATTGTCACTGTGTGAATGCGATGCAGCCCGGAGAACAGCTGCAAATGCCATGTGGAGTCTTGGATCTGTGTTGTTCCTGGGCAAGGGTATGTGCAAGTGACTGGAAGGATCGGATTGCTAGTGTCCATTCAGGAAAGGTGGCCCAAAATGTGGCACATTGGCTGATATTTAACAAGTCCTAAAGTGGTTGTTTGTCCAAATCATGCATTTTGCAGATTAATGCATCCAGCTTTGAGCAAATCTGTGTGAAATATCCTGCTCTGAGTGTTTGTGTTCAGTGAGTGTCTCATCCAAGGTATCATCACGCTGTGGGGTGTGATGAGCAGTGAATGTCACCAAGAGATCAGGAGGTGGTGTGGTGCATGTCACATACAGTGTACAGGCAGAGCCCGGGGCTTAACGTGAGTCCCATGGTTCTGCTGTGAGACCAGCGACATGGTGTCTGTTAGGTCAGTGATGGGTTTTTGTGCAGCGATGGCTAGTGTAATGGGTCATTAGCATGCAAACTGCTGTGTGGACTAGTAATTTACATGCCTCCTGGTCTACGTAGTCTATGATGTCTAGTGCATGCTGTGTTTGTGCAAGAGTGAACATTTACATGTACTGGTTTTTGGGGTGTGCTGCTGAAGCGCTGTCTGATGTACAAAGCCACAGTCAGCAGCTGTGGAAGATCGGGTGCCCATAGGGGCTACAGTGTACACCCCAGTCTCAGTGAAATTGTGTCTGAAGGTGTTGGGCTAAGGACTTGATAAGAAAGTAAAATTGATACTGTCCAGTAAAATTAAAACCTGTTTCTACTGTCCTTCTTGTAGCAGAAAAAAGTTCACAGATGTTTACAACTGCACAGAATGTGGGATTTCAGCTAGGGTTTTTTTTTTGCTGTTGTTTCATCAAGTGTTTAATAATATTCTCCTGTTTTATGAATTCTCCTCAGCCACAAATAGTTTCCAATAATTGATCTGATGGCATCTTTTGTAACTTTACACATAAGTTGGACTGTAAAGGAAACAAGAGTCAATTTCAGGATTTTACTGGTGAAGGAGCATGTCTTTTTCTGTCCTTGAGAAATCTATGGATTGCAGTAGAGCTATGTATCTCCAGACTCAGGAGAACAATACTGAATATTTAGAAAAGTATTCCCAAAGTTATGTAGTGTAAAAATGCAAAAAACTCCCCCAAACCCAAAAGATAGGCTTTATGCTTAGGCTTCTTTAGGAACAAGATGGTGATTCTGCTTTGCCTCCAGAAAGTGGTAAGTGGAGTTTTCAAGATCAAAATAATTTAAGTAACTATGATATTTACAGATATTTTAGAGTCAAAAAAGCATTAGGTGCTTGATGTCAGAATATATATGTCACAGTCCTCTCAACTGAGGAATGAGTATAATACTGGTTTTGATTTTCTGCTCAAATCAGACACTACCAGAATGTTATCAGAGACCATAGGGATTAATATGGTATTATATAATTTTTTTCATAATGGAAATCATTTGTGTAAATGCTGTACATAATTTAGCGTAGTATGCAGTCAATTACAGTTTTCTAAACAAATCCTGTCTCCTTTGTTTTTATAGATTGAAGCTACTGAGTCAAAAGATAATGTGTTGGTGTTCTTTAAGCTGCGACCTGATGTAATTACAGAAGACAATCTTCACAGTAATATTCTTGTATCATCTATGCTAGATTCACCAATAAACACCCTTTATCAAGCGGTACGACAAGTTTTTGCACCAGTATTGCTGAAGGTGAGCAATTTGCTGATTTAAATGTTCTGTAGATTTATACTGAAACATTGAAATTCCGTAGCACGTTAACTCTTCTGACATAAATACTTTATGTTTTAAAAAGAAAATATTTTAAGAGCTGAAATAATGAATGGTAGTTTGTAAGTTTGTAAGTAGCTACTTACCTCCTTTCCACTAGTAATGCCAGTCTTCTGTACATTTCCTGTTTTCGATATTGTTATATTTTATCTGAAATGCATAGGTCAGTATCATGCAAACTATGTTTTCTGTAATGTGTGGCAGATAGGTGTGCTAGACTCCAGATTAATTTGTACAGCTGCATTTATCACAGTTTTGCTTTTTTAAAATGTTCTTAGGGTTTTCCTCCTGTTTCATTAAAGAACATATTTCCTTTGTGGATTTTTTGTCAAAAACCATAACCATGGCTGTATTTCAAAAGCTAGCAAGCAGAATTTCAGCATTTAAATAATTTTAATTTCTTATATGTCACCACATTAATAAAATAATTTTTGAAAAACACAGTAACTTTTAATATTTGATTCTAGCAATTTGCAGATTCTATAGAAATAGATTCCAAATTTGATAACTTAAGAGAATTAATTAATAAGGAATTTTGAACACATTTTTAGAGTGCTTTTATAAATCCAATAATAGACTTTTAAATTTGTGATTAAAAAAGTAGCACAGTATCATTATGGTTTGATACGTGAAAAGAATGAGATGGTCTTCCATAACTTTAAGAAAATAAGTTATTACAGTATCCGACCAATGTGGTGGCTTATACTATTAATCTGAATTTTAATTTTTTTTTAAGATTAATGGGAGGAAAATAGTAATTTTTCTATCATGTGAGTGACGTTTTTTTAAATTTTCATTGCAGGATGAGAGATGGAGCAAAACATTTGATCCCAAACTCCAGAAACTTTTAAGTGAGCTTGAAGCTGGCTTGAGTACTGTTCTCAGAAGATCAGATCCCAATTACACAGGAACAAAATTCAGTGAAGATGATGTGCAAGGTTTGTTTTGCAGTTATGTCTTTTATAATTAATCTTAAATTCGGGGTAAATAATTGATTTATAGGTTGAGTTTTCAGTCTTCATTATCCCAGTGACTGCAGAGTATGAAATGTGACAGGTTGTGGTGGATTGGAATTAGTGACGATCAGCTCTGGTCTCTTGGTATTAACTTGTTAGTACACCTACTCAGACTCAGAAGTTGAAGGGCAATTATATAACCATATAGTGGAAATTTGCTTTAGAAAGTAAGTTCTGAGTGAAAATATTTTGTGACCATTCATGTAATTCATACTTAAGCATTTTCTGATCTTATTTGCAGCTATACTTACACCAACAGATGAATTTCAGTTCTGGACAGAATGTGCTCATCATGGAAGTAAATGGTGTAGTAAAGACAGAGCTTCTCATTTTAAAGACCTTTTTGAGGACATTGCAAAAGTATGTTTTCTTTTGTGTGAGCAGTGATATATTTGGAGACTTAGTAGAAACATTCTTCTTGTGAAATATATATCAGTATATATACAGTCTTTCAAATATATGAATATATAACTAGTTATGTTTTCCTTAGGCAAAATCTTACTTTAAATGACATTTATGTAGTTTCTAGTGACAGTGGTGCAGAGCAAAACCAACATTTAATTGGGCTCAGATTTGACCATTGAATCCTAAGAGCTGCTGTAGAAATAAATCGGTATGCTACAATTTGTGAACTAGAGATTGACTATTGAAATTATA